TAGGCGCCAAATTTTAAAATATACAATAGAATATGCTCAAAATTAATTAAAGAAAATGAATCTATTTTGTAATATAGAAAACGAATATAATAGGGTAAACTACACTATCATCCACAGGATGGGTATAATAATTCTAATGCATTGTGTCGGGGTTGGGGCGAGGGGACAGGAAGCCTGAGTGTATTCATATACGGTAGACTTATGCCGAGCCCTCCCCAAGGCACCCCCAAGGCCCCCCAAGGCCCCCCAAGACCGAATTATTGACCCCGCCAAGGATACAACCCCCACACAAAGCTAATTAACTCCTGACTACCTACTCACTGCAAGGTGAACAGAGGCATGAGCTAAAAAGGAAATGTGCCCAACCATTCCTGTCCCACCCGGGAACCGAACCCGGAATTCTCGATTGTGAGTCGAGAACAAATCCGACAGTACTACCGGGGTGTAGAAACAGGTGGAAAATACGGAGACCTTGTGGGACTGAGCACAGAGACCTTGTGGGACTGAGCACAGAGGACAGGACGGAGACCTTGTGGGACTGAGCACAGAGGACAGTACGGAGACCTTGTGGGACTGAGCACAGAGACCTTGTGGGACTGAGCACAGAGACCTTGTGGGACTGAGCACAGAGACCTTGTGGGACTGAGCACAGAGACCTTGTGGGACTGAGCACAGAGACCTTGTGGGACTGAGCACAGAGACCTTGTGGGACTGAGCACAGAGACCTTGTGGGACTGAGCACAGAGACCTTGTGGGACTGAGCACAGAGACCTTGTGGGACTGAGCACAGAGACCTTGTGGGACTGAGCACAGAGACCTTGTGGGACTGAGGACAGAGACCTTGTGGGACTGAGCACAGAGACCTTGTGGGACTGAGCACAGAGACCTTGTGGGACTGAGCACAGAGGACAGGACGCAGACCTTGTGGGACTGAGCACAGAGGACAGGACGCAGACCTTGTGGGACTGAGCACAGAGGACAGGACGGAGACCTTGTGGGACTGAGCACAGAGGACAGGACGGAGACCTTGTGGGACTGAGCACAGAGGACAGGACGGAGACCTTGTGGGACTGAGCACAGAGGACAGGACGCAGACCTTGTGGGACTGAGCACAGAGGACAGGACGCAGACCTTGTGGGACTGAGCACAGAGGTATACCATGTCGCTCAGTCGATTAAGGCAGTGTCTGGGATGCTCTCGGACGTAGGTTCGAATCCTCGTCACGGCCCTTGTGGATTTGTGCTCCCAAATTTAGGTAAATTACTTGCTGGTCAAGAGGGAATGGCTTACCGTCTCTGACTGCCTCATGACTCCTTATTTTAGTGTTTTTGATGATTCTAAAGCCTAATAATTAAGATGTTAGTGAAGTCGTCAACGAAGATGACAGTTGTTAATAGTTTTAACCTGTTAAAGGTTAGCACTTTGGAGAAATCTTGAAGCTTCTCAGTAAATTATAATAGGCACTTATAAATTATTACATATAAAAACATTGCTTTCCTTGAACATTATATACAATAGTAATCGCTTTGAAAATCATAGAGAATGGTCTATAGAAACGTTAAGAGAAAATGATGTGACGCGGGAATGTTTGTGGGGTAAACTACTGCAAATAGGACATAGCATCCACACAAAGTCCCACGATGTTTGAGGCCAACTAGCACCCAAAAACATGAAGGTGGGACCCACTACCAATCAACACGACGGGTGTTTGGTCCACTACCACCCCAGAGGGTGGTAGTGGACCCCCCACACACCCTCTGGGGTGGTAGTGGACCCCCACACACCCTCTGGGGCAGTAGTGGACCCCCACACACCCTCTGGGGCGGTAGTGGACCCCCACACACCCTCTGGGGTGGTAGTGGACCCCCACACACCCTCTGGGGCAGTAGTGGACCCCCACACACCCTCTGGAGCAGTAGTGGACCCCCACACACCCTCTGGGGTGGTAGTGGACCCCCACACACCCTCTGGGGTGGTAGTGGACCCCCACACACCCTCTGGGGTGGTAGTGGACCCCCACACACCCTCTGGGGCAGTAGTGGACCCCCACACACCCTCTGGGGCGGTAGTGGACCCCCACACACCCTCTGGGGCGGTAGTGGACCCCCACACACCCTCTGGGGTGGTAGTGGACCCCCACACATCCTCTGGGGCGGTAGTGGACCCCCACACACCCTCTGGGGCAGTAGTGGACCCCCACACACCCTCTGGGGCGGTAGTGGACCCCCACACACCCTCTGGGGCGGTAGTGGACCCCCACACACCCTCTGGGGCGGTAGTGGACCCCCACACACCCTCTGGGGCGGTAGTGGACCCCACACACCCTCTGGGGCAGTAGTGGACCCCCACACACCCTCTGGGGCAGTAGTGGACCCCCACACACCCTCTGGGGCGGTAGTGGACCCCCACACACCCTCTGGGGCGGTAGTGGACCCCCACACACCCTCTGGGGCAGTAGTGGACCCCCACACACCCTCTGGGGCGGTAGTGGACCCCCACACACCCTCTGGGGTGGTAGTGGACCCCCACACACCCTCTGGGGTGGTAGTGGACCCCCCACACACCCTCTGGGGTGGTAGTGGACCCCCCACACACCCTCTGGGGTGGTAGTGGACCCCCACACACCCTCTGGGGTGGTAGTGGACCCCCCACACACCCTCTGGGGTGGTAGTGGACCCCCACACACCCTCTGGGGCGGTAGTGGACCCCCACACACCCTCTGGGGCGGTAGTGGACCCCCACACACCCTCTGGGGCGGTAGTGGACCCCCACACACCCTCTGGGGCAGTAGTGGACCCCCACACACCCTCTGGGGCAGTAGTGGACCCCCACACACCCTCTGGGGTGGTAGTGGACCCCCACACACCCTCTGGGGTGGTAGTGGACCCCCACACACCCTCTGGGGTGGTAGTGGGCCCCCACACACCCTCTGGGGCAATAGTGGACCCCCACACACCCTCTGGGGTGGTAGTGGACCCCCACACCAACCTGTCCTCTTAAAAAGCAACCTGTCCTCTTAAAAAGAACGTCGCTTTTGGCCGTTTGCCCGTATGGCCGAATTTGGACGTAATTTGAAATTGAAAAAAATATGAAAATAAATTTGGGATTTTTTTTTTCAACAACAGTAAGTTAAGGGTCCTCTGATAGGTTAGGTGGGCAGGAAATTCTCATAAAGTTTCAAAACGTTATGAAAAACGTTAATTTAAAGTGTCCTCTTATAACCTCTGCGCGTACGCCGGACGGCTCAAATAGAAAACGGAACAGAACGTCACTTTTGTGAGTGGATTTCATTTCAAATTACGTCCAAATTTAGCCATATCGCGCATACGAGCCAAAAGTGACGTTCTTTTTAAGAGGACGGGTTGCCCACACACCCTCTGGGGTGGCAGTGGACCCCCACACACCCTCTGGGATGGTAGTGGACCCCCACACATCCTCTGGGGTGGTAGTGGGCCCCCACACACCCTCTGGGGCAGTAGTGGACCCCCACACATCCTCTGGGGCGGTAGTGGACCCCCACACACCCTCTGGGGTGGTAGTGGACCCCCACACACCCTCTGGGGCGGTAGTGGACCCCCACACACCCTCTGGGGTGGTAGTGGACCCCCACACACCCTCTGGGGCGGTAGTGGACCCCCACACACCCTCTGGGGTGGTAGTGGACCCCCACACACCCTCTGGGGTGGTAGTGGACCCCCACACACCCTCTGGGGTGGTAGTGGACCCCTAGGAGCCGGTCGGCCGAGCGGACAGCACGCTGGACTTGTGATCCTGTGGTCCCGGGTTCGATCCCAGGCGCCGGTGAGAAACAATGGGCAGAGTTTCTTTCACCCTATCCCCCTGTTACCTAGCAGTAAAATAGGTACCTGGGTGTTAGTCAGCTGTCACGGGCTGCTTCCTGGGGATGGAGGCCTGGTCGAGGACCGGGCCGCGGGGACACTAAAGCCCCGAAATCATCTCAAGATAACCTCAAGATAACGTCTGCTTTCACCTAATGGCTCTGTTCACCTAGCAGTGAATAGGCACTCAGTCATTCACTGAATTAGTCAGCTTCTTATGGGTTACTTCCCGGGCAGTAATTCGACTTTGGGGGGGGCGGGGTGACCTCCATATAGGACTAACGTATATAAATACACTCTGGCTACCTGTCCCCCGACACAATTATTTTAATTACTGGCATCAGCAAGAAACAAGTAATTCCATCGTATTATACAATACTCAGTTCTATAATATTGTAGTCCTATACATAAACAAAATCTTGTAAACAAAATAAAAGTACCGTACCTATGATAAAAGTTCCTTATACTCAACAAGTTTACTATAAAAGATTGTCATATATTATATCTTTTAATATAGGAGGCGGCATTCAGAGAACTTTAGTTACCCGTGAAATCGACGAACTGAACGGTACACTTTCTTTGAATACTTATTTCAAGATAGACTAAAGAAAACGATATTTCTTTGAATACTTATTTCAAGATAAACTAAAGAAAACGATAAAGACGGTGACATTCGTAGTTTATTTATTGATTTATTGATATATATACAAGAAGGTACATTGGGATTGTGAGAATACATAGCATAGTAATTACATTCCTGTAAAGCCACTAGTACGCGCAGCGTTTCGGGCAGAAAGTAGATAATTCATTATCTGTATAATTCAAGTATATCTTTATTGTAGACCTGAAGCCTGTTAAGCTAATACAAGTCCTTCTAGCCAGATGTGAGGCTACACGTGGCTACATATCCATCTCCTGGCCAGACTAAGCGATGTTTAACCTATTCTTGAGTAGTCTCTGCCTTTATGAACACTGAACACACGCACAGCTCTGCGTGCAGGCAGCAAGATGAACACCACAGTGGCTGTTCTTCCTCCTGTACATACTTCCATGGCAAAATGTTCACTCACAGGATGAACAACTTAACTGGTGGGTGTTGAACATGCTGGAATGACAGAATGTTCACTCACAGGATGCGTAAGTGTTATGAATGTGATCTCTTTAAGTATCGTCCAAATTAACTGACATGTTTCGGTTATACACTTGCCTAGGTCTACTGTCATCTTGCCTAGGTCTACTGTCATCTTGCCTAGGTCTACTGTCATCTTGCCTAGGTCTACTGTCATCTTGCCTAGGTATACTGTCATCTAGCCTAGGTCTACTGTCATCTAGCCTAGGTCTACTGTCATCTTGCCTAGGTCTACTGTCATCTTGCCTAGGTCTACTGTCATCTTGCCTAGGTCTACTGTCATCTTGCCTAGGTCTACTGTCATCTTGCCTAGGTCTACTGTCATCTTGCCTAGGTCTACTGTCATCTTGCCTAGGTCTACTGTCATCTTGCCTAGGTCTACTGTCATCTGGTGGCGTGTTATACATCACTGCTAAAGTTCCAAGTAGCACGGGCTATGGTGAGCCCGTGATGGATTTATCTGGCACAGGAGCGGGGTTGAAACTTGTCCTTCCATCGTCATGGTGCCTGTTATGTAGTCTCTGAACCCATCACAGCCCGGGATAACCATCGCCTTGAAACTCCAATCCTTTCTCATTAGTAGGGCTACTCCGCCTCCTCCCCTTGGCTACCTTGAGGCTACCTTGAGGTGCTTCCGGGGCTTAGTGTCCCCGCGGCCCGGTCGTCGACCAGGCCTTCTGGTTGCTGGACTGATCAACCAGGCTGTTAGACGCGGCTGCTCGCAGCCTGACGTATGAGTCACAGCCTGGTTGATCAGGTATCCTTTGGAGGTGCTTATCCAGTTCTCTCGAACACTGTGAGGGGTCGGCCAGTCATGCCCCTTATGTGTAGTGGAAGCGTGTTGAACAGTCTCGGGCCTCTGATGTTGATAGAGTTCTCTCTCAGAGTACCTGTTGCACCTCTGCTTTTCAACGGGGGTATTCTGCACATCCTGCCATGTCTTCTGGTCTCATGTGGTGTTATTTCTGTGTGCAGGTTTGGGACCAGCCCCTTCTGTTATTTTTCCACGTGTAAATTATCATGTATCTCTCAAGGCAATACAGATTTAGGCTCTTTAGTCGGTCCCAGTAATTTAGATGTTTTACTGAGTGGATTCTAGCAGTAAAGGATCTCTGCACGCTCTCTAGGTCAGCAATTTCTCCAGCTTTGAAAGGGGCTGTCATTGTGCAGCAGTACTCCACTCTAGAGAGCACAAGCGTTTTGAAAAGTATCATCATCGGTATAGCATCTCTAGTGTAAAAAGTTCTTGTTATCCAACCTGTCATTTTTCTTGCAGTTGTGAAGGCTACTTTATTGTGTTCTTTAAAGGTAAGGTCTTCCGACATGAGTACACCCAGATCCTTTACATTGCCTTTTCGTTCTATGTTATGATTTGCCTGAGTTTTGTACGTGGTTTCTGTTTTTATATTTTCAATTTTTCCGTAGCGCATGAGCTGGAACTTATCCTCGTTAAACACCATATTATTTTCTGTAGCCCATAGAAAGACCTGATCTACATCTGATTGGAGGTTTGCCGTGTCCTCTATGTTGCCAACTCTCATGAAAATCCTAGTGTCATCTGCAAAGGATGATACAGTGCTATAGGTTGTGTTCTGGTCTATGTCCGATATGAGGATGAGAAAAAGTACTGGAGCAAGCACAGTACCCTGGGGGACTGAGCTCTTCACGGTTGATGGGCTGGATTTTATTTTGTTGACTATTACACATTGGGTTCTGTTGGTCAGGAAATTGTAGATCCATCTGCCTATTTTCCCGGTAATTCCTTTTGAACGCATTTTATGTGCAATAACACCATGGTCACATTTATCAAAAGCTTTTGCGAAATCTGTGTAAATTACATCAGCGTTTTGTTTGTCTTCCATAGCATCTAATGCCATATCATAGTGGTCCAGCAACTGCGACAGGCAAGAGCGCCCTGTTCTGAAACCATGTTGTCCGGGGTTATGGAGATGCTGTGATTCCATGTATTTTGTGATCTTACTTCTTAGCACTCTCTCAAAAATTTTTATGATGTGCGATGTTAGTGCTATCGGTCTGTAATTTTTTGCCTCTGCCTTATTTCCTCCTTTATGGAGTGGTGCTATCTCTGCTGTTTTTAGTATGTCAGGGATAACGCCAGTATCTAGGCTTTGTCTCCACAGAATGTGAAGGGCCTGCGATAGTGGTTTCTTACAGTTCTTGATGAATATGGTGATTGATTGTTGCCGCCGAAGGCGGCTAGTTTATTGTGCACCCCATACTCATCCTGTGAGCGGTAGCGCAAAAGCATTACAGAGGGCACAAAAGGTCTTTATCAGACCTCATCTTAGATTATTACATAAACAATTTCTTCAATCCTTCACACCTTAAAGAATCCGGGCCTGGTGCAGAGTGCATAGGCATACTGTTTATGGCTTCTTCAAAATCTAGTGGGGATAGGGCGACGTCTGATATATGATTTGATGTTGGTATCATATCCATGAAAAATTCATTTGGGTTATCAATCTTTAGTGCATTTAATGGCTCGCTGAAAACAGAGTCGTACTGCTTCCTCAGTAACTCGCTCATTTCTTTGTTGTCATCAGTGAAAGTTCCATCTCCCTTTCGCAGGGGCCCGATACTAGATGTGGTTTTTGATCTTGATTTTGCATAGGAGAAAAAATATTTCGGATTTCTCTCTATTTCACTGATGACCTTTTGCTCTCTTTGCCTCTCCTGGGTTTTGTATGATTCTTGTAGCTTGAGTTCAATTGTTTCTATTTCTCTACCTAACCTTCTTCGCCGTTCTTGAGATAGGGTGCGACTCTCAAGTTGTTCCGCGATTCGTTTTCTTCGCCTATATAGGGAACGACGTTCCCGTTCCAATCTGCATCTCTCTCTCTTTTTCTTAGGGATATGCGGTTTGAACATATTTCTAGTGCTACTGAGCTTATTTTTTCCAGGCACTGGTTCAGGTTTGCATTTCCTAGCTGTTCTTCCCAGTTTATTTCTGTGAAGTCCTGGTTTATTTGCTCCCAGTTTATCCGTTTATTATTGAAGTTGAATTTGCTGAAATCTCCTCCACCGGGAATCTGGACTGGTTTTGAAGGTCCATTCCCCATGGTTGTCAGAACTTCAATTAAGTTGTGATCTGAGTAACAGGTATTTGTAATCATTATGTTCCCGATCAACTCATCATTATTAGTGAAAATGAGGTCCAGCGTGTTCTCCTTCGTAGTTGGTCATTTGCATGTGCCTGTTCATTTAGGCTACTTCCTGGTATTCTTTCTGATATTGCTGTATTAGCCAGGTGCTTCCATTTCAGGTGCCGTAGGTTGAAGTCCCCAAGCAGGATGATGTTCGGAGCTGGATTTGTGAGGTTTTCCAAGCAGTGCTCTATTTTCATTAGTTGGTCTTTAAACTGCTGAGGGTTTGCCTCCGGTGACTTATATACAAGGACAACAACTACATTTAGGATCTCTATTTTGACTATCAGCACTTCCACCATATCATTTGAGGTGTTTAGCAGCTCAGTACAGATGAGTGTGTCTTTGATGTAGAGGCTGACCCCACCCTGAAGCCGGTGTTTCCTATCACATCTGAAGAGATTGTATTCTGAGATCCATATTTCACCATCAAGGTAGTCCTTTGTGTGAGTTTCCGTTAGGGCTGCAAACACTGCATTTGCCTCATGAAGGAGACCATCTATAAAGTGAACTTTGTTGGATTTGTGTGTTTTTATACCCTGGATGTTGGCAAATATAAATGATGTTATCGTGTTAGTGGAAGTGCTGGATGCTTTAATTGGTGTTAATATCTGAGGCTCTGGTAAGGTGGCCACTGTGTTTGCGTCCTCTCTAGCATTTGACCGAGTTGGTGGTAGAGTCTGGTCAGTTTTAGCCATTCTTCTCCTCCTCCTCTTGCTAAAAAATTATCCCGGTTGATGGAGTAGTGGCTGTTTTCATAGTGGTAGTCTGTCGGTTTTATTCGCCTGGTACCTCTTATATGAAAAGCTGGACATTCAGCATTAACCTGGTTGATGGGGTTCTGGGAGTTCTTCTACTCCCCAAGCCCGGCCCGAGGCCAGGCTCGACGTTGAAGCACTCTTTCCTGTCCAAAGAGTTCTTGCAAATTTCTGGGTGAAAGAATTCACAGCTTTTGGTACATTTACCTGTATTGAGGAGGTTTCTGCACTTTCTAGGGTGATCGTGTGTACATGTTCCATTTATTCTTCCCGATTCCCCATGCTTACAGGAAGCCCATCTGTAATACCAACAGATTTTGGGGCCTTGTTTTGTTTGTTTCCCTCTGCCAGGGACTGCACTCTGCAGTCTTCCCTTCCTACTCTTTCTATCCTTATTACATTGTAGTCCTGGGAAAACACCGCATTTGTTATGATACCTGACAGTTTTGTTTCTGCGAGTCCTATTACATCCAGGTTTTTCTCTTGAGCTCTTTCCCTAAATTCGCTTGCTTTGCTTGCAATCCCATCTGTTTGAGTATATTTATTTGAAGCTGACTTTCTTCTGACACACGGGAGACATCTCCCGTCACGCAGGGTGCAGTCGCACCTCCACATATCTCCAGTATCAGCTCTTGATACTGGTAATGGCTCAAAAGGGCCACCACTTACGGGCTATTCATGCCCGTGCCACCTTTTGGGTGGCCTAATCTTCACCAATCAATCTTTCTTCTGTCCAATCTTAGTTTCCTTCGATGCTCCTGGAATAGGCGGACAGGGAGGGTCTGGGACTGAAGGACATCTAGCCAGGGTCTTGGATGGGGACCAGTAAGATCTGGGATGGGGGGCTGGGACGGTCTGGGATTGGAGGAAATGAGGCCATGGGATGCAGGAGCAGAGAGGTGGGGGGGGGGGGAAGGGAAGCTTGCAGGGGTTGAGCTCTGGCTCTTTGGTCCCGCCTCTCAACTGTCAATCAACTGGTGTACAGATTCCTGAGCCTACTGGGCTCTATCATATCTACATTATAAACTGTGTATGGAGTCAGCCTCCACCACATTACTTCCTAATGCATTCCATTTGTCAACCACTCTGACACTAAAAGAGTGTGTGTGTGTGTGTGTGTGTGTGTGTGTGTGTGTGTGTGTGTGTGTGTGTGTGTGTGTGTGTGTGGCGGTAGTACAAAGTGATGGCGGTGGTTGATGTGGTGGGGGGGAGGGGCGTGGGAGGATTTGAGGGGCGGGTATTGTGGTCGTAGTTGGGGGGGTTGGGATCGGGGTATGGGTAGGGGATAGGCGGCCTCGTATTACCACCATTCACACTTGGGGCGGCTTGGTGGGCGCCTGGACCCGCCCACAGCCGCCCTTTACATCTGAACGCTTTGACTAGCAGGTGTGGGCGCCTTTCCCGACCTATTCTGCGTTCCATGTTCCTTTTCGCTTACTAGCGGCGGCGTTACTTTCCCGCCACGATGGGGTGGCGTTGTCGGAGGGGAAGGAGTGGGGCAGGGAGGTGCAGGCGCCCCACAGGAGCACTCTACAGGCGGAAGGTGAAGCCGAAGTCGCAGCCGGAGTCAGGAGGCGGGCGGCGGTAAGACCAGAAGCTAAGTCTATTGTGTTCCTGTTATTTGAGACATGCCGCCTCGCTTAGCCTGCCATCCTCCAGTGCCGCTGCCCCTGCCGCCCCTGTCGCTGCCGCCCCTGTCGCTGCCGCCCCTGTCGCTGCCGCCCCTGTCGCTGCCGCCCCTGTCCCTGCCGCCTCTGTCGCTGCCGCCCCTGTCCCTGCCGCCCCTGTCCCTGCCGCCCCTGTCGCTGCCGCCCCTGTCCCTGCCGCCCCTGTCGCTGCCGCCCCTGTCGCTGCCGCCCCTGTCGCTGCCGCCCCTGCCGCTGCCCCTACTCCTGCCACCCACCTCTGTCGCTGCCGCCCCTGTCGCTGCCGCCCCTGTCCCTGCCGCCCCTGTCGCTGCCGCCCCTGCCGCTGCCACTCCTGTCGCTGCCGCCCCTGCCGCCCCTGTCGCTGCCGCCCCTGCCGCTGCCCCTACTCCTGCCACCCACCTCTGTCGCTGCCGCCCCTACCCCTGCCACCCGTCCCTGCCACCAATTGCTACCAATAATCAAAATACCAACCTGTCCAGAAGATCTGTCACCACCTGTCATGTAACAGCCCGTCCTCCTCTTTAGACAGTAGTGTTTGTAATACTCTGCACCATAGTACAAATATTGACGTACTAAGCACTTAGTAGAATTTGGCACTATTCACTTTACAGAGTTCGAAAAAAATGAAACTAAAAAAACAAACTTAATTATTCGTAGGCTTAGTATAGCACACATATGTACAGTATTAGGCCTCAGATATTGTGAATTAGGCCTATCTTGAGATGATTTCGGGGCTTTAGTGTCCCCGCGGCCCGGTCCTCGACCAGGCCTCCACCCCCAGGAAGCAGCCCGTGACAGCTGACTAACACCCAGGTACCTATTTTACTGCTAGGTAACAGGGGCATAGGGTGAAAGAAACTCTGCCTATTGTTTCTCGCCTACGCGTGGGATCGAACCCAGGACCACAGGATCACAAGTCCAGCGTGCTGTCCGCTCGGCCGACCGGCTCCCGGGTTATCTTATCTTGAGGTTATCTTGAGATGACTTCGGGGCTTTTTAGTGTCCCCGCGGCCCGGTCCTCGACCAGGCCTCCACCCCCAGGAAGCAGCCCGTGACAGCTGACTAACACCCAGGTACCTATTTTACTGCTAGGTAACAGGGGCATAGGGTGAAAGAAACTCTGCCTATTGTTTCTCGCCTACGCGTGGGATCGAACCCAGGACCACAGGATCACAAGTCCAGCGTGCTGTCCGCTCGGCCGACCGGCTCCCGGGTCATCCCATATAGTTCAGGAATAGAACTCACCGCTCAGACCTTAATGCAAAATAGGTCAATAAAAATAAAGTTAATTTTCAGTAAATGAAAATAAAAATGCGACAATTTCTCCTGATAATTCTCATCCTCCCATCTGTTCGCTCTCCTATTCTCTCTCCTATTCTACCTTCTTCCTATTTTCTCTCTCACCCGCAGAAACAAATGGGCAAAGTTTCTTTCACCCTGAATGCCCCTGTTACCTAGCAGTAAATAGGTACCTGGGAGTTAGTCAGCTGTCACGGGCTGCTTCCTGGGGGTGGAGGCCTGGTCGAGGACCGGGCCGCGGGGACACTAAACCCCGAAATCATCTCAAGATAACCTCAAGATAACCACCCTCCCCCCCCTCCCTCCCTCACACTCACAATAGTCAAAACATGCTTGGGTAATGCTTAATTAACATCAACATTAATAACGTTAACTACACATCAATAACAATTGACAATCAGGTAAATCACTCTATGGACAATCACGCCAACTTTCAGACGTCAGAAGAGTCTCTGAGATCCGGAATAGGACCCGATTCTCCTTAAAAATAAGGGGCCAGATTCACGAAAGGACTTACGCAAACACTTAAGAACGTGTACATCTTTCCTCAATCATAGACGGCTTTGGTTACATTTATTAAAAAGTTTACAAGCATGAAAACTTGCCATTCAACTGTTTTTATTGTTGTAAACAGCCTCCTGGTGCTTCGGAGCTCATTAACTGTTTAATAACTGTAAACGAAGCCGCCAGAGATTGAGAAAAGATGTACAGGTTCGTAAGTGCTTGCGTAAGTTCTTTCGTGAATCTGACCCAAGGTTCGCCAGAACCACCCTATGAACACATAACAAAATCGTAGTTTATTCTAAAACGTCATATTTTAATAATGATAATTTTTACTAAGTTCCGCGAGGCTGTCAGTAAGTGTTTGACCGCATTGGACAGGACCTCGTAGGGGCCTCGTAGCCTGGTGGATAGCGCAGGACTCTTAATTCTGTGGCGCGGGTTCGATTCCCGCACGAGGCAGAAACAAATGGGCCAAGTTTCTTTCACCCTATGCCCCTGTTACCTAGCAGTAAATAGGTACCTGGGTGTTAGTCAGCTGTCACGGGCTGCTTCCTGGGGGTGGAGGCCTGGTCGAAGACCGGGCCGCGGGGACACTAAAGCCCCGAAATCATCTCAAGATAACCATTGGACAGTACCGTAAGTGTCGCGGAGACCCGTCCAGGTGGCCGCCAGACCGTCCACTTACACTCTCAATGTTTTGGGCGGGAAGTCGGGGCGGTTGATCTCTGAGCCAGAGCTAAAGGGAATTAGAGGGTCTGGTCCGGCGGCCTCTCACAGTACAACCCGTCAGTGCTGGTCCACTTCAACTGTGTCACCCGTCTCTTCTACGCCCACGGCCACCCCTTCCTCTGCCTCCTGCGCCCACAGCCGCCCACACCTGCTCCTCAGCCGCCCACACCTGCTCCTCAGCCCATACAAGGAACGGAAGACGGGTCAATGTTGCCGGTAATGAGTAAATGTTTAATGGTTTATAAAGCCCACAAGGTGAAATTTGCTTCAGAAACCTCACATCAGAATGGACTTAACGATATTCTATATGAAAATGGACGTTATGTACCCAGTTGTGCCCTGGGAATATGTCTACCCTGAGACATTCCCCCAGGGCACATCTGGGCAAACTTTACCCTACCTTTGAACAATTTTTTTTTTTTTGAGTAAAGAGGAAGGAGAGGCATAGGTGAAGGGAAGTATAGAAGTGGGAAATACAGTGAGAGGTATGAAAGCAGGCGGGCTGTCCGCCTTGCTGACACGATGTGTGGGTGTTGGCAGCTAAGCTAAGCTGGCTCCCTCTTGTCAGGGAGCTGTGAGTGTGTGAGAGGTTCAGGTGAAAGGTTCTAGAAATATGGAATACAGTGAGAGGTGTGAAAGCAGGCGGGCTGTCCGCCTTGCTGACACGATGTGTGGGTGTTGGCAGCTAAGCTAAGCTGGCTCCCTCTTGTCAGGGAGCTGTGAGTGTGTCAGAGGTTCTTCACATGTGTTTCACCATATATGGATGTCCATAGATGAATACTGTGTAGCTGAGGGGCCCCTTAGCCCTCCCTGGCCCCTCAGCCCTCCCTGGGCCCTCAGCCCTCCCTGGCCCCTCAGCCCTCCCTGGGCCCTCAGCCCTCCCTGGCCCCTCAGCCCACCCTGGGCCCTCAGCCCTCCCTGGGCCCTCAGCCTTCCCTGGGCCCTCAGCCCTCCCTGGGCCCTCAGCCCTCCCTGGGCCCTCAGCCCTCCCTGGCCCCTCAGCCCTCCCTGGGCCCTCAGCCCTCCCTGGGCCCTCAGCCCTCCCTGGCCCCTCAGCCCTCCCTGGGCCCTCAGCCCTCCCTGGCCCCTCAGCCCTCCCTGGGCCCTCAGCCCTCCCTGGCCCCTCAGCCCTCCCTGGGCCCTCAGCCCTCCCTGGCCCCTCAGCCCTCCCTGGGCCCTCAGCCCTCCTTGGGCCCTAAGCCCTCCCTGGCCCCTCAGCCCTCCCTGGGCCCTCAGCCCTCCCTGGGCCCTCCGCCCTCCCTGGGCCCTCAGCCCTCCCTGGGCCCTCAGCCCTCCCTGGCCCCTCAGCCCTCCCTGGCCCCTCAGCCCTCCCTGGGCCCTCAGCCCTCCCTGGGCCCTCAGCCCTCCCTGGGCCCTCAGCCCTCCCTGGGCCATCAGCCCTCCCTGGCCCCTCAGCCCTCCCTGGGCCCTCAGCCCTCCCTGGGCCCTCAGCCCTCCCTGGGCCCTCAGCCCTCCCTGGGCCCTCAGCCCTCCCAGGGCCCTCAGCCCTCCCTGGCCCCTCAGCCCTCCCTGGCCCCTCAGCCCTCCCTGGGCCCTCAGCCCTCCCTGGGCCCTCAGCCCTCCCTGGGCCCTCAGCCCTCCCTGGGCCCTCAGCCCTCCCTGGGCCCTCAGCCCTCCCTGGGCCCTCAGCCCTCCCTGGGCCCTCAGCCCTCCCTGGGCCCTCAGCCCTCCCTGGGCCCTCAGCCCTCCCTGGGCCCTCAGCCCTCCCTGGGCCCTCAGCCCTCCCTGGGCCCTCAGCCCTCCCTGGGCCCTCAGCCCTCCCTGGGCCCTCAGCCCTCCCTGGCCCCTCAGCCCTCCCTGGGCCCTCAGCCCTCCCTGGGCCCTCAGCCCTCCCTGGGCCCTCAGCCCTCCCTGGGCCCTCAGCCCTCCCTGGCCCCTCAGCCCTCCCTGGCCCCTCAGCCCTCCCTGGCCCCTCAGCCCTCCCTGGGCCCTCGCAAAGGTTTATGAATGATCTATACTTTATATTCCAGGGGCCTGGTAGCCTGGTGGATAGCGCGCAGGACTCGTAATTCTGTGGCGCGGGTTCGATTCCCGCACGAGGCAGAAACAAATGGGCAAAGTTTCTTTCACCCTGAATGCCCCTGTTACCTAGCAGTAAATAGGTACCTGGGAGTGAGTCAGCTGTCACGGGCTGTTTCCTGGGGGTGGAGGCCTGGTCGAGGACCGGGCCGCGGGGACACTAAAGCCCCGAAATCATCTCAAGATAACCTCAAGATAACCATTGTGGAGCAGGTGGTGGTGAGTGCTCGTCTCAGCTGGTGCAGCCCTCAGAGGGGCTCTATATGCCCTTTCCTTACACTCTGGAACCCAAACTGGACTCTATAACCTTTAAGGGTTCTAACACGGACACTAGATATCTATCTTGAGATGATTTCGGGGTTTTAGTGTCCCCGCGGCCCGGTCCTCGACCAGGCCTCCACCCCCAGGAAGCAGCCCGTGACAGCTGACTAACACCCAGGTACCTATTTTACTGCTAGATAACAGGGGCATAGGGTGAAAGAAACTCTGCCCATTGTTTCTCCCCGGCGCCTGGGATCGAACTCGGGACCACAGGATCACAAGTACAGCGTGCTGTCCGCTCGGCCGACCGGCTCCCCTAAAATAAATAGAAATCTAAAAATAAAAATACATATATCTCTTTCATACCTCACGGGTCAAAGGTTATGCTACTGGAACGGTGAATCACCGTCGTGTGTTCACCGTCGTGTGTTCACCGTCGTGTGTTCACCGTCTGTGTTCACCGTCGTGTGTTCACCGTCGTGTGTTCACCGTCGTGTGGTCACCGTCGTGTGTTCACCGTCGTGTGTTCACCGTCTGTGTTCACCGTCGTGTGTTCACCGTCGTGTGTTCACCGTCGTGTGGTCACCGTCGTGTGGTCACCGTCGTGTGGTCACCGTCGTGTGGTCACCGTCGTGTGGTCACCGTCGTGTGGTCACCGTCGTGTGTTCACCGTCGTGTGTTCACCGTCGTGTGTTCTAGATACATGACACATACAGTGAAGGGAAGGGAACTATCAGGAGAAAGTTTCAAGTCATTCCCACTACATATCAGAGGTTATCTTTTGAGGTTATCTTGAGATGATTTCGGGGCTTTAGTGTCCCCGCGGCCCGGTCCTCGACCAGGCCTCCACCCCCAGGAAGCAGCCCGTGACAGCTGACTAACTCCCAGGTACCTATTTACTGCTAGGTAACGGGCATTCAGGGTGAAAGAAACTTTGCCCATTTGTTTCTGCCTCGTGCGGGAATCGAACCCGCGCCACAGAATTACGAGTCCTGCGCGCTATCCACCAGGCTACGAGGCCCCCGGGAGAATCATCACTGGTATAATTGTATATAATTCCACCTGAAGCTGTGTAAAACTCTCCTAAACATAAATGTCTCACCAGAGACTGTCCAGCATTTCATATGAAAGACACCAAAGAATTTACTAAACGCATATACTAATTATTATTTTTTTTTTTGAGATATATACAAGAGTTGTTACATTCTTGTAGAGCCACTAGTACGCGTAGCGTTTCGGGCAGGTCCCTGGAATACGATCCCCGCCGCGAAGAATCCTTGTTACAACCAAGTACACATTTTACTGTTGCGTTAAACAGAGGCTACAGTTAAGGATATGCGCCCAGTCAATCCTCCCCGGCCAGGATACGAACCCATGACATAGTTCGTTTATTTAAAAATTACTATAAAATGTGAACGGAATGACTTATTTTAGTCCAGAGTCCAATGGCTATTACACTCAGCGAGGGTTAAAAACAATATGCGAAAGCACTGTCTTAGTCTTTACCTCAATTAGCATAGGAATAAGGGTTGTTCCGTTAGCCAGGGAGCGGCTTTGTCCGTTCTCGCAAATTTAATAAGTCAATATTGACTTATTAAATATGTGCATAGGTGACATACTTAACATAATAGATACCCTTAAAAAGATTCATAGAAAACACCGACCTTACCTAACCTTGTTAGTATGTTAAGATAAGCATCTTATTGCTTCGTAATTACAATTATTACCTAACCTATAATAGGTATAGGTTAAGTAATAATTGTAATTACGAAGCAATAAGAAGCTTATCTTAAGATACTAACAAGGTTAGGTAAGGTCGGCGTTTTTTATGAATCTTTTTAAGGGTATCTATTATGTTTAGTATATCACCTATGCACGTAGTTAATAAGTCAATATTGACTTTACGAATTTGCGAGAACGGGTTGGACAAGCCACGTGGGCATTGGCGGGTCTGTATCCCAGCGTCAGATGGCGCTGCTCGCGATGTAGTTCGGCTGTTTCGCTGTGTTGTTAAGGCTGGCCAGCGGTACACCCCGGAGGGTGTCTAGTGTCAACACTACACCCTAACTGACACCCTTAGAGAACTGGCGGTGAGTGCAGTCTTAACAAGTACCCTTCCTATACCCTTCCTGAGGGCGGTAGTGGACCCTATACCCTTCCTGTGGGTGGTAGTGGACCCCATACCCTTCCTGTGGGTGGTAGTGGACCCCATACCCATCCTGTGGGTGGTAGTGGACCCCATACCCTTCCTGTGGGTGGTAGTGGTCACCATACCCTTCCTGTGGGTGGTAGTGGACCCCATACCCTTCCTGTGGGTGGTAGTGGACCCCATACCCTTCCTGTGGGTGGTAGTGGACCCCATACCCATCCTGTGGGTGGTAGTGGACCCCATACCCTTCCTGTGGGTGGTAGTGGACCCCATACCCTTCCTGTGGGTGGTAGTGGACCCCATACCCTTCCTGTGGGTGGTAGTGGACCCCATACCCTTCCTGTGGGTGGTAGTGGACCCCATACCCATCCTGTGGGTGGTAGTGGACCCCATACCCTTCCTGTGGGTGGTAGTGGACCCCATACCCTTCCTGTGGGTGGTAGTGGACCCCATACCCTTCCTGTGGGTGGTAGTGGACCCCATACCCATCCTGTGGGTGGTAGTGGACCCCATACCCTTCCTGTGGGTGGTAGTGGACCCCATACCCATCCTGTGGGTGGTAGTGGACCCTATACCCTTCCTGTGGGTGGTAGTGGACCCTATACCCTTCCTGTGGGTGGTAGTGGACCCTATACCCTTCCTGTGGGTGGTAGTGGACCCCATACCCTTCCTGTGGGTGGTAGTGGACCCTATACCCTTCCTGTGGGTGGTAGTGGACCCCATACCCTTCCTGTGGGTGGTAGTGGACCAGGTACCCTTCCTGTGGGTGGTAGTGGACCCTATACCCTTCCTGTGGGTGGTAGTGGACCCTATACCCTTCCTGTGGGTGGTAGTGGACCCTATACCCTTCCTGTGGGTGGTAGTGGACCCCATACCCTTCCTGTGGGTGGTAGTGGACCCTATACCCTTCCTGTGGGTGGTAGTGGACCCCATACCCTTCCTGTGGGTGGTAGTGGACCCCATACCCTTCCTGTGGGTGGTAGTGGACCCTATACCCTTCCTGTGGGTGGTAGTGGACCCCATACCCTTCCTGTGGGTGGTAGTGGACCCCATACCCTTCCTGTGGGTGGTAGTGGACCCCATACCCTTCCTGTGGGTGGTAGTGGACCCCATACCCTTCCTGTGGGTGGTAGTGGACCCCATACCCTTCCTGTGGGTGGTAGTGGACCCCATACCCTTCCTGTGGGTGGTAGTGGACCCTATACCCTTCCTGTGGGTGGTAGTGGACCCCATACCCTTCCTGTGGGTGGTAGTGGACCCCATACCCTTCCTGTGGGTGGTAGTGGACCCCATACCCTTCCTGTGGGTGGTAGTGGACCCCATACCCATCCTGTGGGTGGTAGTGGACCCCATACCCATCCTGTGGGCGGTAGTGGACCCCATACCCTTCCTGTGGGTGGTAGTGGACCCCATACCCATCCTGTGGGTGGTAGTGGACCCCATACCCTTCCTGTGGGTGGTAGTGGACCCTATACCCTTCCTGTGGGTGGTAGTGGACCCCATACCCATCCTGTGGGCGGTAGTGGACCCCATACCCATCCTGTGGGTGGTAGTGAACCCCATACCCATCCTGTGGGCGGTAGTGGACCCCATACCCTTCCTGTGGGTGGTAGTGGTCCCCATACCCATCCTGTGGGTGGTAGTGGACCCCATACCCATCCTGTGGGTGGTAGTGGACCCCATACCCATCCTGTGGGTGGTAGTGGACCCCATACCCATCCTGTGGGTGGTAGTGGACCCCATACCCATCCTGTGGGTGGTAGTGGACCCCATACCCTTCCTGTGGGTGGTAGTGGACCCCATACCCATCCTGTGGGTGGTAGTGGACCCCATACCCTTCCTGTGGGTGGTAGTGGACCCCATACCCTTCCTGTGGGTGGTAGTGGACCCCATACCCATCCTGTGGGTGGTAGTGGACCCCATACCCTTCCTGTGGGTGGTAGTGGACCCCATACCCTTCCTGTGGGTGGTAGTGGACCCCATACCCATCCTGTGGGTGGTAGTGGACCCCATACCCTTCCTGTGGGTGGTAGTGGACCCCATACCCATCCTGTGGGCGGTAGTGGACCCCATACCCTTCCTGTGGGTGGTAGTGGACCCTATACCCTTCCTGTGGGTGGTAGTGGTCTCCATACCCATCCTGTGGGTGGTAGTGGACCCCATATCCTTCCTGTGGGTGGTAGTGGACCACATACCCTTCCTGTGGGTGGTAGTGGACCCTATACCCTTCCTGTGGGTGGTAGTGGTCCCCATACCCATCCTGTGGGTGGTAGTGGACCCTATACCCTTCCTGTGGGTGGTAGTGGTCCCCATACCCATCCTGTGGGTGGTAGTGGACCCCATATCCTTCCTGTGGGTGGTAGTGGACCCCATATCCTTCCTGTGGGTGGTAGTGGACCCCATACCCTTCCTGTGGGTGGTAGTGGACCCCATACCCATCCTGTGGGTGGTAGTGGACCCCATACCCTTCCTGTGGGTGGTAGTGGTCCCCATACCCATCCTGTGGGTGGTAGTGGAC